GACGTATACACATAGTATAAAAATCTATATAGACACTTTGTAATAGTGTACTGTTGTGTCTACATTCTAGCATGAAATGAAGGTGTGCGCACGCGCGGATAGCCTCAGCGTAGATACACCGACCAAGTGTATCTTATGTGTCCTCTCTCCTTTCTCCTTTCTAGGAGTGGTATGTGTTAGCGGCCATTATTGTTTTATCATTCGGAAGCTCTCTATAAATGTTCTGTTTGTGTGTAGTTTAAAAGAGATTTTAAGGTAAGGACAAGTTTTTAATTACCTTGTTACACCTTCCTAAGAGTATTATTAATATTCTAGCAGCGACTCTTCCCTTACTCGATACCCAATTTACCAAATTTTGACTCCAATGAATGAAAACTCCAAATATTTTCGTATAATGATAAAGAGGTTAGCTCTGCAATATAATTTTTTTTAATTTGGAAATAATAAAAATCTAAATGGACCAGAGAAAGAAAGATTTAAACACTTCAAAGAACTTCTTACACTGATATTCGGTGAGTTATTGATGGATCAATATACAGATATGTTTAATATTCAATAATCAGTTTCATATAAAATTTAAGGGTGAGATTGTTAATCTGGAAATAAAATACAAGAAAGTCCAACAGAGTGCTCGATGAATGAGTATGCTAACAAACCAACTGCTTGGAGGGAAACGAGGTCCACCAAATCGTGGCGATATACCAGTGTTTACCATTTTAGTATGTTGTTATACTAGGTACTTATATTTTTAATACATTTTGATACAAATTGTGTTCTTTTACAGTGTTTTCTTACTTCTGGTTTCTGCAGTGTAAATAATTATTATTATTGTATTATTTGCGCTATTGCCTTCCATGATATAAAGAAATATAAGAATTTTATTTTTTAACCACTTAGTCCATTTTATGGAAGAAAAATGGTACATTTAATACAAAACAAAAATGGAACAATTTTAAAGCTACTTCTCTTGAACTTACGAACGAGATACCTTTGGAAAATACAAAGTTTTGACTTCCTAATTTTCGTTCTAAAAAGATATAATTGGTATCATTGAATAAATATTTCTTAAAAAGAACGAAAAGTTAGGCATCAAAACTTGTATTATTTCCTAAATTCGTTCATAAGAAGTAGTTTTATCTAGCACAAGATGTATATACGAAGCAAAATACATACGTATACACGCGGTAGTCACAACTGCAATGTGTAAACAGAGTTTAAACGTAATACACAAGCACTGTGTATCCTACGGCACACTGTGTATCCCGTACTTTGTGTATACGTAAATGCTATACTGTGGCTATATTGTGAGGCGGACGTTTAACCTTTGTGCATACGTGTTGAACTACAATGAGTAAACGTAGCAGATTTACATCGGGGGAATTGTGTCACCCTGTGTCTACATCTAATAATGTAAACACATCGTAAATGTGATTTGATGTGCTGTATGGGAGGTTTCTAAATATAGCACGAGAGAGCCAAGGAACAATCATGTTCATACAAAACCGACTAGTAGACGAACTACAATCGGATGAGATTCTGGGAATGGTCTCGGATCTCACACCACCAATCCAACTCTTGACGCGCACCTACAACGTCCTGTTTCCGAATAGGGACGAATGGGATAAGCCGAGAAACGGCTTATTATTTGCGGAAATGTGTTGGTACACGGACGGATCCAAAAACGATAAAGGATCTGGCGCAGGAATTTACTGCAGCAGTCCAAAGATTGAGATCTACCACAGTCTTGGAAAACACACCACTATTTTCCAAGCTGAGCTATATGCGATTGAAACCTGTGTGCAACTGCTGGTAGAACAGCAACACACCGGGAAAACAATAAGCATATTTTCGGATAGTCAAGCCGCGTTGAAAGCACTTGAGGCAACGAAAAGCACGTCCAGGACGATTCTTCATTGTAAGAAACTACTCAATATATTAGATGGAAACAAAGTGTCGCTAATATGGATGCCGGGACATGTCCGCCTAGAGGGATGAACGTGCTGATTCCCTCGCCAAAACTGGTGCAGGCTCGCCATTCGTGGGCCAAGAACCGACACTTAGCGTACCAAAAAATCTCGCAAGAGACAGGCTCTGTGAATGGGTTAGGGGTGTAACGCTTCGGGACTGGTATGACAGTCCCGGAATGGAACATGCCAAAACAATCCTAGCAGGGCCATCTAAACGTAGAACAGATGAACTCCTAAAGGCTGGTAGGAACGGAGCGCGTACGCTTACTGCAGTATACACGGGCCACTGCCGGCTGAGATCACACCTACAGAGGATGGGACTGGTGGAAGACGCCGAATGCCGACTCTGTATGGAAGATGACGAAACAATGAAGCACGTTATGTGTACCTGCCCCGCTGGGGGCAGGACCAGGTTTGAGGTGTTTGGCAAACCCACGCTAGACTTATCAGACCTAGAAGACATATCACCCTCGGACATAACGGCCTATGTTAAAAGGCTGGGTCTTGAGGGCGAACTTTAATGCTCTTTTTCTATTAAAGAGCTTGTAGAAACTGAGCCACAATAGGTCCTCGCGGCCTCAGTGGAGGGTCCCACCTGGGACTCACTCTTAGTAAAATACAAAATACAAAATACAGTTGGTCAGAGAAATCAGTTTCTGTGCACGTTGCTGTGAAGATGACATTGATTTTTCATTCTAGGGGACATCTTGTCTTTCTGCGATGAGCAAAGTTATACAAATGTTTATCTGTTCCCATCCCAAGATTTTGGAAGTTGATTTAAAAGTTTTAACGGTTTTCTAGTGATTGGGTAGTGCTGATTTTAAATCTAGTTTTTAGTTTTTTTGTATCACGTACCGAAGGTTATTTTTCAAAACAGTAAAATCCAAAAATATAGGGATACAATTCTAGGGATACCTAATACAATTCAAAATGTAATATTTCGAAGCTAGTTGTATAATACATAATACTTATATTTAAGAAAAAAAATACACAAATATTTAAAATATCTACATTGAAACTATTAGAAATCTTCTTAAAAACGTTTCTCATGAAAGCTTCTTTTGGTTGTTCTCCAGTCGTATTTAGCAAAAGTATCTAAATCGCTCCTTAATATTCAATAGTAATCAGCCATCATTTTTCTTGTCTCAGCGCCTTGGTATCTTTTTCTACCTCTTTAGTATCATCAAATCTTCCACTTTGCTCTTCACTCACATCATCGAGTTTCTCCGGGAAATAGTCCAAATTGGAATGTAAAAAGTGAATTTTTAATTTTTATGCTCATACTGTAACCAAGAATTCTCAATATTTCCAGCATATTTTCAACGATCTCAACATAGTTTAGGTTTTTATAATTCTCTAGAAATGTACGTGCAAGTTCTTTAAAAGTACTCCTCTTTGTAATTTTATCTTTTAATCTCAAAATAAAGTTAAAAAATCATAAAATAATGTAAAAAATGCGAATGCGAAACTTCTTACTAACAGCTATTAAATTGAAGGATTTGGAGGATATACATATATATTTTATGGATGCTTTTTATAAACTTCAAAAAACTTAGAGTTAATATAAAACGTATACTATTCTAGCTTTATAATTTTAGAATGTTTTTTTTTTATTTTTATTAAAAAACAATTCTATCATCCGGTCGGATAGCTCTGGAAGCTGCCGCCATTAACCAAAATACTACTACATCTATATCTTTGACTACTGCTAACTACTGCTACTAACCAACAATTTGTTTTGTGTGGTCTGTTTTTGTTTTAATGTTTTGTTCATTATTCATGTTGAGAATTTAGTTTTAAATTAATGTTAATCGTTAGGCAACCAGTAAACTCATATAATATGTATTTCTTTTGCATAATCAAAATTGTCACTGGAAATTTTACATAACCAAATTGTCTCTCTAAATCACTGTCTTTTTTAGACAGATGTCACTTGTCTTATGATTATTCAATTCAGTATTCGAATTCTTAGAATGTTGTTAACAAAAGTTTCATCTAAAAATAAAATTTTAATCAATCACAATTGTTTATCTCCATCATTTACCGGATTAATAATGCAGAAATTACAGCTCAATTACAAACAATTCATTATTTATAGTGATTTCCAGTAATTTTATTCCATTATACGAATATTCTCGTTCATTATTGATTTGAAATAAATATGACAGTGTCCTCCAATGAAAATGCGAGTTACTAACTCTAAATTCTAATTCTGAGCTGGCAAATGAGCTAGATGCTTTACCTAGACCGTTACTCAGAAGCTACAAATCTATCAATGAAAATATGCATGAAAATTTACTTCCTAGCACACAACCAGATCATTGTCATTGGTATACCTCATCCCCTCGCTAGCTCGCGCGTCACGGCTGTCTCGCCGCATAATTTTTTTGTGAATTAAAATGAAAGACACAACTGTCACTGTTATGGATTCTCTCGTTGGACAGACTATATGTTGTGGTTGGTTACTCATCTTCTCTCTGTCTGACGCATGTAAACGATGAGGAGAAAATAGACCCAGCAGTACTATTATTAAGGTCGAGGGGTGTCTCACTATTGGAATTACATGTACATTTTCTTGGCAGAGACTGGCAGTCCGTGCCAGTCTTACGGCAGTCGCCTATAATAATTCCATGGCAGTCATAGGCAGTCTTCTTCGCAGTAATTGGCAGTTGCTTGGCAGTAAAATGATATTTTGACAGTACATGTACATTTTTTGCCCAAGTGAGACACCCGTCGATTAAGGTATTTATACAGGAAGTGACAAACGAACTCTCAAAATAAAAATATACATACAAAAATATATCCTTTTCGTATTGAGTATGCTGAGATAAAGTACTAATTTTATAAGGATATAGTTTTGACACGAGGTGGCGATGCTATCAATATTATATGCATATAATATTGATAGCATTAATATGATATGCATATAATATCATCTCTAAGATGCATAACTGTAAGTTGTATATTTCCTATGCAAAGTGAAGTTAATAAAACATATGCTTATATTAAGAAAATATATATTTATTTAACGTTTCAAAAATGTTCTTGGAATAATTCGTCTTCTTCTTCGCTTTGAAATGGTACGAGCGTTCCTGATTCTTCCACGTCGTACCGTCCAATAAGATTCCAAGAGTCGGGAGTGACTTCCACATTATCGGTATCGTCTTTAGGAATGATAAACATCGGTAACATTTGGTCTAATGTAGATTCCTTGCTGGCAATATCTGACGGAGCTGTTACTTGTGGAACCACAGGATCTTCAGTCGTTTTTTGCTTCAGAATGTTGTCTGTCGAGTCAGGTTTAGGATCCATACTAAACAAAAGAAAATCATATTACTAGTTATATCGTGTAAGATAAAAAAACGGCGTCAAAGACTACTGGGATATGGTAAATATTTGCAATAATCACAAACACCCAGTCCGAAATATTTGGTAATTTTTTAGCTTTAGTGCAAAGCGGTACGGTTTAAAAGGCTACTTTCTCCTAAATTCCTGGATAGAATATTTTCAGCACAGAATTTTTTTTTAAGTAGAAATAATGAGTCGAACCTGAAATAGTGTTTTTATTAAAAAACGTAATATTAAATCAAGAACAAAGTCCGAACCACTGTCAAAAAAATTCTTTATTAGTGACCGGTTTCAAAAACAGTTGTTCGTTTAACTTTATAAAGGGTTCTTCACCACATACGACACGGAGTATTGTAGCTAAACGATTAGTTTTTTACAAGTTGTAAATTCTGGGTTCGTATTTTTACAAGATACAGAGTGCCCCAAATAAGTAAAAAATATTATAGTTGTATTTTTAAAAGGGAAAACACTGTATATTATTACATTTTTAGATTTTACGATTGAAATAAAGGTAAATAAGATTAAGGTTTACCGCATTTTAATCTTACTGTTATTGATATATTTACGATTTTGTCAAAATTCAGTAACAATTTTAATGCTCATAGGCGTATTTAATTTTTTAAAACCAAATATTGTACTGAAGTTTTTCTATTTACTAAATTTTGTGCTGCAAATTATACCACCTTATACAGAGTGTCAAAAAATTTATTTTAAATAATTACTAGCTTTAAACGTCAAAAACGTATTTAATGTAAATAGAACACGCTGTATATTTTAAGAGAATCAGATGCAAAATTTAATTGTCTATTAAATTGTATTAAACCATTTTTTACCTATCTCTTCAAGTTTTCGTATAAAATGCATTTTTTTATAATTTATACGTCATTTATCACTATACCCATGGAATATTGACATTTTAGATCATTTTTAAAGATGTAACAAAGTTTCAGAGAGTAGCAGATACTAATATTGTCAATATTAGTACTAGATACTAATTATTCAAATATTTGTTAAAGAGGACCAATCAATATGATACCAGTATTCAAACTACATTAATTGTCTATTTGCGTTGATTAATAATAATTGCTATAAATACTACAAAACTAAATTTTGTATGTGTATTAGACTGGTAACTGTGGTAAAAAGTAACACCTTATAAATTTTATTTTATTTTTTGACGACTGCTTATTTATAATAACAGAGACGTTAATTTTCATAACTTATTATTATTTTATATTTAGAATAATTTATTAACTAAAACAATTAAGAATGTAATAAACTAATTTTTGGGCGGAAATAATGGTGGTAGATTTTTAATTGGTATACTCTTTTACAAAAATTTAAATAGTTTTTTTTTGTAAACAAATGGGCTTGCAATATTATCGTTTTTAGCACCTGCACATTTTGTACATTCGCAGCTTTAAAAAAATCTAAAATGTCAATATTCCACGGGTATATTAATAAATGAGGTCTAAATTATAACAAAATGCATTTTCTACGAAAACTTGATGAGATAGGTAAAAAATGATGTAATACAATTTGATAGACAATTAAATTGTGCATCATATTCTCGTAAAATATACAGGGTGTTCTATTTAAATTAACCAAGTTATTGCCGTTTAAAGTTAGTAATTATTTATTATAAATTTTGATACACTCTGTATAAGGCAGTTATATTTTTATTATTGCAATACAATATCTGATCAATAAATAAACTTCAGTAAATATTTAGTATTAAAAACTTTGATACCCTTGGAGAAATGAAGCTTTAAATTTTTTACGGCAATTTCACACAATTGAAAATATTTCGAAAACTGTAAGGTTTAAGAGTGATAGACTCATAGATATCAAATTTACCTTTATTTCAATCATAGAATCTAAAAATAGAATAATATACAGGGCGTTCCATTAAAAAAAATACAACTACTTTACTTATTTGGGACACTCTGTATCTTGTAAAAATATTTTTAAATTGTAGCTCTAATAGTCCTTCAACAAAAGCAAAATCTTACAATTTTTAAAAATCTAATCGTTTAGCTACAATACTCCGTGTCGTATGTGGTGAACAACCCTGTATATAAAATTAAAGTTTTAAAGTCAAACAAACAACTATTTTTGACAAAGGTCTGATGATGGCTGGCATTGCCGAAACCGGTCACTAATAAAGAATATATTTGGCAGTGGTTTGGACTTTGTTCTTGATTTTGACATGAAAGTTTTTTACTATGGGCCACCACTTTGTGAAAATGAACAAACTCTATAACTTATTAAATGCTAGTCTTTTTATTAGCATACCTGCTGCTAGGTCCAGGTTGATCTAGATCATCCACGATGTCAATAAAGTAACTGGTGTCTTCTTGTTCTTCATATATCCCCACAATGTAAGAGGCCGCATCTTTATTATTAGCAAACGTATCATGGTGTTCTAACAGCAGATGTTTTTTAAAATCTTTAGCGAAATTTGCTTCAAAAGCAGGAGACTGGATGCAGAATTTACATTCGTAAATAGATTTCCCGGGATGTTTCGTTGTGGATAAAATATGTTTGCGAAGATTTTCCTGAAAATATTAACGGATACGTAATTTTTATTGCAACTATATACAATATAATGAAATGCAAATGTTATTGTAATGCAATATCATATAAATAATAGAAATAATTATTGCTTATGCCATACCAAACTGTTGCATCTATAGTCACAATGAGGGCAGTTGTAAGGTTTTGCACCAGTATGCAGTCGAATGTGTCTTTTCAGGTGAGAAGTAGTTCTTGATTTAAAGTCACAAAGTGAGCAACGGTATCGTTTTTCTTCTGCGTGGACTGTTTGATGCCTAAAAAAGTATATTATGTAAAACTTGGAAAATAAGTTCGTCATAATAATGCTTTTATTTATTCACTATTCTAATAAACAATATGCATTCCTTCGGAAACTCTCTATTTATTTATTTGGTAATGCTAAAACACTCTATTTGAAAGTCGATTAGAGAAAACAGTATGATTCATTGGCAAGCGATGTAAATATTTGTGATCAGGTAAAATTGTGATGTAAAGGAGGCTTAGCTCGGCAGGCGGCAGGTCAGTCAGTCGTTGATAGGCCGGCCGGCTGTGTAGTGTTGTGTTTTGTCACAGAGTTGACAAATGGAGGTTGCGAGTCTTTTGACTAATATAGTTGCAAGTCGTTTGACTGTAAGCCAACGGGGTCGTTTGACCACGGTAAGAAAACCTCTGTGACGTCCTGCCTTCGAGTTGGTCTTGAGAGTTTGAGGTCTCCATAATGTCTTCTCGATTGACGATGCGGCGTTGGGATGGTGAGCCACCCAAATAGCTTATTCGATTGGGATGCGAATCTGTTTAGCGGCAGAATTGCGTCCGGGGGAAGCCCCTATACTATTTCAGGTGACACTAGCTAGTTGTTGAAGATTATTAACCAATAAATCCGAATAATATTTGAATTAGATGGAAGATATGGAATGTGATATATTGAATAGAATATCAGTGATGTCAGTGGCTAGGGGCGGAGTACCCCCGGGTGAGTCTTACTATTTAACTATCAATTTTATCCAGATCAGTAAATGTTTGTTTTGTTATTTTCATGTACAATGAGAGAGTGCTTGCCAATGACCAACTAAATGGATATTTGAGGTGAATTTGCATTGTGAGACCCGGTTGAGTAAGCCCCAAAAATACCGATTTTACAATTATGTGTTTAATGCGGGTTGACACGGTCCAAGTGTACTTGTATCAAGTACACTTGGATGCTGCCATTTAACACTATACGCTTGTACGCTGCTTGTATCGTATTAACTAGAGTTGGGTAAAAAATCGCCACCTGTGATTTTGTCACCGTGAAATAAAAGTCACGGATCACACTCAACAAATAAAGATAAAAATAAAACGTGATTGGAATTAAAGAGTGACTGTGACTGATACGGCAAACGTCGCTACTCGTGAGTCACGACTGTCTCGAGATACGAGGTGTTTTGACCTGTTAAGCTTCATCGCTGTAAGGTTGAAAATCGCAAATCACACCGCAAACACCCGTGATGTACAGGTTGACAAGATTGGGCGCTTTCGCGCAAATTGCACATAGGTTTCTTGGGTAAATGAGCACTAAGAAGGCACTCTAAGGGGGTGAAAGAAGGGGTGAATATTCTGAAAAAATCTGTCCTAGGAATATGAAAATTTGCACAGAGGCTCCTTATGTAGCGTAATTGAATAGTTAGAGCGATTTTCGGAATTCATATTTCCGGGGGTAAAACTAGGGGTGAAAATTTGTATAATTTTTATGTCAAATCCGTTCTAGGACTAGAAGTATGAAATTTTCCATAGAATTAAGGGATGAAAATTGGAAAAAACATTTGTTAAATTCGGTTTTAGAAGTATGAAATTCTACGCAGATATTCCTTATGTAACGTAATTTAGCACCAGGAAGCAATTTTAGGAAATTCGCCCTCTATGGGGGTGAAATGAGGGGTGGAAGTTGTGAAAAAATCTGTCCTAGGTGTATGAAAATTTGCACAAAATTTGCTTTCTATCCCTTGGTGAGCTAGCACCCAGAGTAGGAGGATTTCATTATTATTATCTTTGCCTAATTTGGTTAGCTGGTGAAGAAATTTAACAATTAATTAATTAATGCTAGTGAAGAAATTTAACAAAAGGATAAGAACAAGGAGATCTATTGGAAGGGGTCTTTGCAAAATAGATTCTCGCGTCTTTATTATTGTGAAACGCAAATACCTGGATACTCTACACCTACATCAGTAATGGTGCATCCAGACCTGACGAGACAAGCCGAGTTTGATCATAGTGAAAGGAAGCCAAACACATATTAAATTGTAATTGAATATAACAAACGATAGCGAAATAATAGCGCATACAGTAATAATTTTTTGTATCTTTAACATGGTATTTGTTGTATTTTATTCATCGTTGGTTTTTCCCTTTTGGCTGTTTTCCCCTTTATCCCTTCATTTGTTTTGAGACACGACGTTTTTTACATAATACGTTTTTTAACGCTTTTAGAACAAAATGTTAAATAGAAAAGTTATTGGGGAGGTTAAGAAGCACATTTTAACAATACTGTAGAGTACACAGGGTACTTCAAAAAAGTGTTGCGGATATAACATATTTTCTAATGGGAAACCCTATTTTTTCTACGTACAATTCGGTAACTTTTTTTGCAAAACGTCCGTTATCGTACGATCTTTCTCCGTTGACGGATTGGAGTAAAAAATTTACGAATGAAAAGTGGCGAGAAAACGCTATGACCAATGAGAGCGCCGTCGGACCATCGTATCAACGGATAACGGACGCATGAAAATCAAGCTTAAGATCACCGATGCGTTGGTCCGACGACCTCAAGCTGACAGCGTAATTACATTGGATGAAAGAAGCAATGAATCGAAATAAGTGGAAATTAGAATTAGGAGGAGAAAAAATGGATGTAAAACGTTAGTGAAAAAACAACCAAAAGAACAAGATCTATTGAAAGCATTCTTCGCGAAATAGATACTCGCATCTTTATTAGTACGAGACGGGCGAGTACGACGCTACTGTATAAATCTTCCCTCGAACGTACGGCGTGGCGACGGGTCCGTCCGCCGTTAACTACGGCTACCATTAAAGGATCCGGCGACTGATTAATCCAATTCGAAGACGATTTCGAGATGCGCGGGGTTCGCGATGGAATTTCCATATAAATCTCGAAGAAACTACACATACGGATCGGTCCCAGGGCATAAATTAGGCGGGAAACACGTGTTCGGGCGGCCGCGGCCGAATTAATTGACGTTCGGTGAGTCTCGGCCGTGTAATTAGGCGGTTATCGAGGGCGAGATCGCGGCCCGGTCTTGTCTCCGCGTCAAGAGCGGACTTTATTGTCACGCTCGCGAACGGATAAAGTTCGGCCGTTATCGGGATTTACTGGCGCGGACCGCTCGATCGCCTAGCGTCGTCCGAAGAGGCGCCCAGTGGCGGATAGTCGGGATTTTTCTTCTTCGTCATCTTTATTTAACACAGGGTTCGAGTATGAATAATCGTAGTATTAAGTATATCCCATTCCGGATATACTAACCACCTCACCTTTCAAATCATTTCTTCGGTGGACTATCTAGGGCCTTCTTTTTTTGGAATAGATTTGTGGATGATTTGGCTATCCGATCATCAGCCATTCTGTGTAGATCATTTCGGCCATCATGCTTTGTGTCTTATTCATTTTACTATATATTTTACTATGTGTTTTCTTATACCGGGTGCGACTTAAAAGTGGTTCACACCTAATTTTTTTTTATTTTTTCAGATAAAAAAACGAGATTTGGTATATTAATATATGACATAAATTAGGATTGATTGAAGTATTCAATTGTTTTTGGTCACTTCCAAAACTTTCCAACTTTTGATTTTTAAATGACATCCTCGGTATTCTTTTACTTTATTCGATAGAAAATGACACTCTTAATAGAATGACATATCAGATGTCAACTTTTGACTTTTTCGCATATGGTTTATTTGAAATTGTAACATGCGGTTCATAAAGACAATTTGATTCGAAATACCAAGTATGTGGTATCAAATTATTCGTCAAAAAATGCTTTTTCCAAATATGGTAACGAACCACTCTTGTTCCCTTTGAAAAAAATGAGATATGATTAAAAATGATATTTGAGCATCTTTTAACTGACCATAGGACAAGACACGGAAAACATTAGGCAATCAAATCTATTTTTACAAGCCTTCTTCATTAAAAATTAGTGGTTTTAACGCAGCCTAGATTGAAATTTAAAATACAATTTTTTAAGCGAAAATGTCAAAAGTTGACATACGATATGTCATTCTATTCAGAGTGCCATTTTCTAACGAATGAAGTAAAAATATACCGAGGGTGCCATTTAAAAATCAAAAGTTGTAGTTATTTCCGGTGAAACAGGAAGTGAATAAAAACCGTCAATCAATCCTAAGTTATGTCATATATTAACATACCAAATATCAATTTTTTATCTGAAAAAATAAAAAAGTTATAGGGGGTGAGCCACTTTTGAAACGCACCCGGTATGATCAGTTTATTTGTGGTCGTACCAAATATAGCTTGTTATTGCTACATCACTATTTGGAGGCGTTTTGTAGCTGTTATTCCTCTACATGTGTCAAGACAGATCTTATACATGCTTTGTATATTTTGCTCCTATCTGACACCTTTTTCTCAAGATGATAAAAGTCCATAAATATCATGGTATCTTTAGTCTAGCTTTGTCCTCTTATTTTAGGTTAACTGTTGTTCTTCTGGTTTATATATAGCTAACTTACGCGCCTTGGTTCTTCCTTGGGCCAGAAGTAGGCAGAACGGACTAATATCTGTCACAACACTCGAGCCTTCAGCTTCGAAAAGCTTGTTGAAACACAAAGTTATTACATAAATTGTAGGAAATTTCGTTTGAATAATTACTATTTAAATTAATTAAATAATTAATTTTAGCTTGTAATTGCATTATAAAAACTTAATTTATACCCGACGCAAATTATATTAGATTAGATTATTATTTATTATTTTATTATTTGCCGAGTTATTCGCTAATTACTAAAACTGAACCTGGCATAACACCCAAATTTATCTACCTTGTTAATAGCTAAACTTACTGTTTAAGTTGCTTCATAGTCTTTCCTTTATAGCTGCAAATTTCGCAGGCGAAGTTTTTTTCGTCACTATGATATTTGAAGTGTTCTCGTAGTTCACTCATTTTTCTTGCCGTATAGAAACAGTCACTTTCTGGGCATCGAAATAATTTTCCACTATGAGTTAACATATGTTGTTGAAGAGTAAACCTATAATTAATAAATAATTATTCTGTTAAATAATGTAAATACTAAAATAACAATTAATGTTTACATATATGTATGTATTTTTTCTATAGCACTTATTAATTGATTGTGGAATTCACAATAAATATCACTATAATTAATCTATGGCCGTTTGCACCAATTTGCATTTAAACAGTGTTTAAGTAATCACTAATTATATTTTAATCCATGATTATTTTTGTTACATTTGCACCATGTACGGCTGTATCTCGGAAAGTATTAGCCGTAGGTGCTGCGGAAAAAATATTTATAACTAAAGAGGCTATGGGAAATTGCTGGAAATTATTTTCAAGTTTGTAAAACGACCGCTAGGGGGCGCAACTGCAACAAAAAATAAGAAAATGGAGTTTTTACACAATTTTGCCTAGATAAGGTGTACTACTTATAGTACACCTAAAGGTACACCTAAGGTGTACTACTTATAGTACACCTTATCTAGGCAAAATTGTGTAAAAACTCCATTTTCTTATTTTTTGTTATGAAGCTATTATAAGTAATAGCTTGATAATCTTCAGTAAATTTTGAATAGTTTTTGTTAAAGCCATTTTCCCCTAACTACCAAAATTATACCTTAGATCTGTTTTTATTTAGAAATAACTCTGGACTGGATGATCGGAATCCAACAAGCGAGGGCTCGTTTAAAAGAGCGTTTCTTACTCTATATTGCACCATATAAACAATAATAATAAGCTTTTGAAGACGCTAGGGGGCGTTGTCTTACAATTTAACAAACATTGCGCGTTTTTTAAAAAAAATTAAATGCATTAGTATATGTAATTTTAGCTGATAGTAAAGAGCAGTAAAAGCTTAAAAAGTCAGCGAAAACCGTATCTTGATATCTTCTTTCAAACTGAAGATGTTAGCAAAATTATAGTAAATACCAAAAAATAAGCCCTTAATTACCTTATTTTTACAACACGGTATCAGTAGCCCTCTTAATTATGCCCAATCTAAGAAAAAAATAAGATAGAAACAGTTAGTTTATTTTAAAATCGACGAAATACCAGAATACCATAATACCAGAGATATTAATATCTAATAATTAAGATATTAATAACAGTGAACAAGAAACGATGATTCAGTGAAGTCATGGTAGGCTTAGGAAAAAAGTTTCTTTTGACGTAATAGTATAAACGTCAAATTGTTATTAGATCAATATTTTGATAGTCTTATCAGCGTTTTTTTATCTTTTGATTGCTTTTTCAAAATGCCAACAACTTCAACTATTTCAAATAATCAAGGCATTTTAAAGTACAAGCGCCAAAGAATATATCACAGCATAACACAGAATAATGAAGTTAAATAATATACGTTTAAAACTTAAACGCCCAATTATGACCGTTTAATTTAAGCATTGATTAAATAAGTATAAACAACGTTTATGTAATGGTGCAAATAAAATATTATATTTAATCACTGTTTAGCCTTTAAACAAAGTTTATACAAACGGTGCAAGTGGTATCATTTACTAATTAATAACCCCAGATTTACTAATTTGAAACAAAACTAATTGCAAAATAAATAATAACCTCATAAAAACACTCATCATAAAATTCAAATGTGTCAATTGTGTCAATTGAGCCGTCGAACAAAACTGTCAAGAATGGGGGTTCATGATGCCGATTCCGTCTTTGATGCATCAATAGCCTGGATATCATTATACTTCTTCTTTAATCTTTTTATTCAATATATCTTCTAATTTATAATATATATATATATATATATATATATATATATATATATATATATATATATATATATATATATATATATATATATATATATATATATATATTTTATGTAATTTTTCTTGGCTTTAGGTCAGGTAAAAATGAGAAAAACGTGTTTTTTTATATTAAATATTTCATGACGTTTCAACCTGGTAGGGTCTTTATCAAAATTTATTACTAAAAAAAAAATTTTATAGTCACATTATGAACGTACTAATTAAAAATAATAGTAATATATATATATAAAAATTCTATTTTGTTACCATGAACGTAGATTGTTTACTTATTACAACTTATCATTTTCTTTCTGAAATAATAAATAAATAGTAATGGAGGACTTAGAGGAAACAGTACTCTCAAAAATCACCTATTCGATACCGTTTTTCTTTAGATTTGTTGACGATTGTATAATGGCTGTCCCAAAAAATCAAGTTGAAAACATCTTAACAATATTTAATTCTTATAATAAAAATTTACAATTTACCATCGAAATTGAACAAGAAAATAAAATAAACTTCCTTGATTTAACATTACATAACATAAATGGAAACATCAGAACCGAATGGTATACCAAAAAATCATGGTCTTCTCGTTATTTAAATTATAATTCTCATCATCACATAAACCAAAAAAAATCTGTAATTATAGGGCTAGCAGATCGTGCAATACAACTATCAGACCCAGAATATCGACAAAACGCGATAATTAAAGCTAAGGATGCTCTTAAATTAAATAGCTACCCACATGACATAATTAATAACATTTTTAAAAAACGAATTCACAAATTTTACAACTCACACCAACATAGTAAACCTATAAATAAGGACAATAAAAAATACATTTCTATCCCTTTTGTGAACGGACTGTCACAACAAATAAAACATTTACTTGGTAGTTATAATCTCAATGTATGTCACAAATCACACAATTTATTGGCGAGTAACTTTTCAAGGCTCAAGACAAAAACACCGAAAAACAAAAAAAGCAATCTAATTTACGAAATACCCTGCAAAAATTGCAGTGGAGTTTATATAGGACAAACCAGTCAGTATCTTGAAAACCGTTTAAAAGGTCATAAATACGACAAGAAAAATAAAACAGCCCTAACTTTGCATGAAATCCAAAAAAATCACAGTTTTGACTTTGAAAGTACAAAAATAATTGGCACCGAATATAATACCAAAAAAAGAGAAATTCTTGAATCTATTGCTATCCAAAAAAACCAACACTCTGTTAATGATAGGATAGATATAAACAACCTGAGTAAGATATATTATTCAGTGTTGTAAAATCCATTAAATGTGTATGTCTCTGTGCAAAAATTGTGACGACTTTATTGATATGTTTGTGTTATGTGTGTGGAAACCAATTTGGATATATTTTCTTCGCTAAGGTAGGCTTTTTATATATTTTTTTTCTCTCATGCCACCTTATAAAAATAGATTTCAGAAAGAAAATGATAAGTTGTAATAAGTAAACAATCTACGTTCAAGGTAACAAAATAGAATTTTTATATATATATATTACTATTATTTTTAATTAGTACGTTCATAATGTGACTATAAAATTTTTTTTTTTAGTAATAAATTTTGATAAAGACCCTACCAGGTCGAAACGTCATGAAATATTTAATATAAAAAAAAACGTTTTTCTCATTTTTACTGACCTAAAGCCAAGAAAAATTAAAAAATATATATATTGAGAGGTCAAAGAAAGAATAAAAAAAACATATATATATATATATATATATATATATATATATATATATATATATATATATATATATATATATATATATATATATATATATATATATATATATATATATATATATATATATATATATATATATATATATATATATATATATATATATATATATATATATATATATATATATATATATATATATATATATATATATGTATCGGGGAAAAATCATAGTAAAATCGGGGAAAAATCATAGTAAAATTAAACTTTCTAAATATTATTATAAAAATTATGAATTAGTTTAATAAGAAAATCATTGGCCATTTTATCATCGTTACCAATACAAAACTGACTCGACTAGAGGATATATCACCAGCAAATAGGTGAAACTTGGAGCATTAGTGACAGGCTACAATTTCCGTAACGCATAAAACAAAGCAACGAGCCGAATTCGCAATATATGTAAATATAAATTAACAGAAATTGTGAATTGTTGTACCTGCAAAAGGCAGCAGCGGCACCCCTCGCGCGGCGCCGACACCGGGGCCATTTTCAGTTATAATCGGAAAATAACGAAAAGCGGGAAAATTTAAAGTCGCTCCGCCGCTATCTCTCTCGTCGTCGATTATTTATTGCGTCGCAATGGCGAAAATAGCGCATTATTCGGTTTAAATTATTTTAATACGCGCCCGACAAAAGGTTAGCATGTGCTAAAAGCATCATAAATTAGAGGTGCAACGATACCGGTGTTTTATGGCGAGTTGCGGCGGCCATAAAAGAGTTATGGCGAGTTAAAAGACTCTTCTTTTCAGCGCCGCCCGACGGCTCGCCGGTTTCTTTTGTAATGTTGGACGGGTTACTACGGCCTGACGGTGGTGCTCGTAGGCTGGAGCTACCAGTGGAAGACAGTACTACAGTAGTTAGTAGTTAATATCACTGGTCAAATAAATTTTTCTCGAGTCCTGGTACCATTCCCGAGGATTTTATATAAAATGGCGTCTAAATATAATTATAAGATTAAACGAACTTACCTAAGTAAAGTTTGATCATAATTATATGACCGCCTCTTCCGAATAGATCACTCTGTAGTTCACTCTTCCCGATAGGGTGGAGCCACCCCAAGCAGCATTTGGACGTCGGGACAACGTTGTGTCACGCGACCAAACGTCGGGGCGCAACGTCGGCACAACCTCGTGCCAACCCTAGTCTGCACTAGTTTGGAGAATCATTTTTGGGTCGAAACGACGTTGGATACCGACGTTGGCTAGAAGCTTAATTTAGTACAAACTGCAACGTTGTTTAAAATCCTAATTCACAGAAATACAAAACTAATATGGCGTCTAAGTCGCGTTTTATCCTAAATTGGGATAATTATAGTAAAAATATTATATTTATAATTTAGTTAGAGACATATGTCAGATGGCAGTGAAGGAAAACAAAACAAAAGTATTTAAGTGTGGAGGATGTTTGAAGATCATAATTATTGAAACACTTTAACCGACTCTGTAACTCGTTACCCAAGGT